TGGGGGGGGGATCTCCTCTCCGCACCTCCCCAGCCCCCAGACCCGAAGAATCGGCTGCGAGGAGCAAGACTTTTATCCCACCGAGCAAAGCAGCAGTAATACCCTGGCCATTTTTCTATTGCTGTGATCCAAAACAGCAATTTTACAGTTATTTATGAGCCTTTTCCTAGAAAAAAAACAAACAGTTCTGTCCTCAGCTGGAGGCTTTTCTGACACTCTCCGCACCTCCCCAGCCCCCAGACCCGAAGAATCGGCTGCGAGGAGCAAGACTTTTATCCCACCGAGCAAAGCAGCAGTAATACCCTGGCCATTTTTCTATTGCTGTGATCCAAAACAGCAATTTTACAGTTATTTATGAGCCTTTTCCTAGAAAAAAAACAAACAGTTCTGTCCTCAGCTGGAGGCTTTTCTGACAGCAGAAGGTTACACTCGCTCCACTTTTGTTGCTTAATTCTGCCAAAGGCTAAAGGCTGCCACATAAGGGCAACGAAATTTGACAGCAGAGTTCAAGCAGGGAGAACAGCCCCAGCTCTGCAAGGGAAGTGCCCTCTGGTGTCCACCAACCGCAGGAGATAACAGGGAGAGGGAGGAGAGGAGGAGGAGGAGGAGGAACCAACGGTACCCGGTCAATGGAGCTGCCCTTCTTCTGGGCGTAGGCTCCCCAGAGCATGAAGACCACCCCGCGCAGGTTCGCGTTGAGCCAGGAGACCACCACGTCCGTGAACTGCTCCCAGCCCCTCTCCTTGTGCGAGGTGGCCTGGTGAGCTCGCACCGTCAGGACGGCGTTGAGCAGCAGCACTCCTGCCAGACAGGGCAGACACGCAGAGGGTGAACAAAAACCAAGCGCTGACCGCCGCTGCCTGCTTCCCCCCAGCAATTACAAATCACATTTTAATTCTGAGGCAGCTGCTAGGCGGCGGGCACTCAGAACTGACTGTCTCTTTTGCAGACAGACCGTTTCCAACCACGGATCTTTTTTTCCAGCCGGGCTTCTTCCCGAGCTGTGCTGGACGCGTTACCGGAGCGGCTATCTGCTCACCTTGCTTGGCCCAGCCAGTCAGATCCCCATGGCCAGGATGAGTGAAGCCCTCAATATCCGTAGACAGTTCTTTGTAAATATTTTCTAAACTGCAAACAAAAACACACCAGCAGATTTTAAAGACCCACACCTAAAGATGAGAGCAAGCAGCACCAAGTAACACCCCCACACTAGACAAGAAGGATATCGATCCTTAACCTTATCATTTAAGATAATAAAGCCACTTGTAGAAGCAGGGTAACAAGGACCCCCCTTCGCGTGCCTGTGTAGAAGCTTACTAAGAAAGTCTCAGCACAACTGAAAATGCAAATTTACATCCAGCAAGCTCTTCAGAATATCAAACTATACAGAATTATCCATCATTTTGCAGTGATGTTTCTTCCTAGGCAGCACACAACTCAAATTTCAGCAACACGTTCCCCATCACTGCCCCGACTCGCAGCCATGCGTGACGCAGGGCTGCAAATCACCTGGAAACAACCAGGAATTTGCAAACAGAGCGCTGTCGTACCTGGGGGGAGGCGGAACAGGCTTCTGGACACTGAAACAGAGCCCGTGAGCTTGATTAGGTCCATGATACGGATCTTGTCCCAGAATGACAACCTTTACCTGAAAGCAGGCCTTCGTTAGCACTGAATTGTAATCAGTATTATTTCCAAAAGAGGGAAAAAAGAGAGAAAGCTTACAAATGAGCCCAAAACCAAACATACAGACAAAAACCCAAGGCCAAACCATCCCCAGGAACTGAGGTTAAATCACGGACATCTCATTATAAACAAGTTAAAGCACACAGCCCCCACCTAACGCTAAGCATTAACAGCACCGCAGCTCGGCTCCTGGGACTCTGTGGATATTCTGAGTGGGGAAGACCAACATTCTCAGAGAGCCACATCAAAACACCTTGCTGAGGTATTTTCCAAGTAAGTTTCCTACCATTTGAGTCCGATGCCACACTTGCTGCGGTATTTTTGACACCGCTCATTGCCAGTGAGATTACCTTCAGCATCGTGCTGTTTTTTGTTATTATAGTTCGTTATGGATGACGGAGTCCTGGCCCAGGCTGCCCAGGGAGGCGGGGGAGGCTCCTTCTCTGGAGATATTCAAACCCCACCTGGACAGGGTCCTGTGCAGCCTGCTCTGGGTGCCCCTGCTTCGGCAGGGGGTTGGACTGGGTGACCCACAGAGGTCCCTTCCCACCCCCACCATTCTGTGATTCCATAAAAAACCTCAAGAGATGCACGAGGTACAAAAACGAAGCCCTACGTGAAGCCGGTAACGCTGGAAATAAGGTCAGAAGTCCAACTAAAGCTTTAAAGGCCGTTCTGTGGCCAGTGAGGGTAACAAAGCAATAAATCCACGCCTCACCATCCGAGGTGAAGGGGAAGCCAGGATCTGGGAGCGACATGAGGGGAACCGCAGCCCCGGCACCCCGCGGGGTGGGAGCCTCGGGGAAGGACAGTGCCCGTGCCCCCACCCTGCTCCCCCCCCCGGGTCCACTCCAC